GTTTGTGTTAAGTGTGTGAGTCACCTCTACATCTTCCTTAGGAGATGCTTTATATATTCTGGAAGCTTTTATTGCCAAGAGATATCATTAAGCTCAGCTCTCTTTCCTCCTAACCCCTCCTCAGCCCCAAATATATCGAATAGTGTTAGAGGCAAAGGATATTTTCAGGCCTGCTGGGCCCTCAGGGAAATGACTTCTGTAGAGAACTAGTGAGCTATGCAGGACTTTGAATGCCTTTTCTGGCACCTGCCCCTATTCTCCCAAGTGTTACAGCCTGGCAGGCAGTTACCACTTCACAAATTTACAGCCCACACTTCCTTCAAGGCTTGCTTTGACCTAAGCACCCTTCTCCATGGCTCTTCACATACCCATATTCTATATTTTAGGAATTCACTCTATAACCATAACTAACTCTGTCCTTCTTGTGACCTCTCCTCCAGACCTGCCTCGCCAGCTCTGGTCACCTGATAGACCAGAGAAGACAAATCATATTAATAAGGAGTCTGTGCACACTGTGAGCATGCTCACATCTGCCATCCCATTTGAACCTCAGAACAACCTGTGTGAAAATAAGGATCGAACAAGGAGGAAACTAAGTCTCTGTAAACAACGCGGTGAGTACTCCCTCCACAACATATGTGTTTAAGTTAACCAAGAGGGGTGCAGCTGGGGTACAAGCCCAGTGATGTCTGTCTCCAAAGTCAGACCTCTCAGTCTGATACCTTGATGTGTTCAGTGGCTAATGATGCTAATCCAAATGCTTAAGTGCCAGCCTGTTGGATGAATAGGCAGTCCTTCCTGCCCTGTAGTGCTGGATTGCAACCATCAGAAAGCAGATGGCTTCATGAAGGAGCAATAGCCTCCAGCTTACTTCTGAACCTTGTGTTGCTTTAAGATCTCCTCCGCACTCAGAAAAGTACAATCCACGTTTGTTGGGTGTTTAATATGCACCGTTCCCTTTTTACTTGGAACTCATCGTTCCAGAAGTATTTCTGGGGCTCCTTTACACTTGAAGGTCTGCTGAAGAATACATAGCTTTTAAACAGCAGTCATGGAACCCATGATTTCTGTTTCTTTCTACTGCACAAAACTTTAACTTGTGTGTGTGTGTGTGTGTGTGTGTGTGTTTATTTGTGTAGGTCTGAACACAGCTATACATGTGCCTTCAGAGGTCAGAGGCATCAAAAATACCTAGATGTAGAGTTACAGGCAGTTTTGAACTGTGGATATGGTTGCTAGGAACTGAATTTGGATCCTCTTCAAGGTAGTATGCTCTCTTAACTGCTGAACCATTCCTTCAGCCCCATAATATACATTTTCATGATTCCGAGGGCACAGAACCGTAGCAAAGCGCCCGAGAACGCAGTTTATTTCTGTTGTTGCTATGATTAACAGCTGTTGCTCACTAAAATCATTTTTAGCTTATTGTGTCTGATTACTGTGGCTTAAGTAAATCAAGGTGTGTGTGGTGTCTGTGTTTATTTTTAGTAGAGAAGCACAGATGAACTTGAGCTAAAAGTCAAGGACATTGGCTTTGGCAACTTGCTTTGACAGTCTAAGCATAGGACTCTTTGTCTTTTCGAGATGGTCATCTTACTTTAAAGCCACAGATCTGCACTGGATGTAGAAGAAGGGTGAAGGATAAAATCCCCATGATGATAGAACCATCCTCTTTCTGTCAAAGAAAACAGTGGCTTTCTAGAAACACTATTCAGTAACCTTTTGCTTAAATGGTTACATGGTGTGAGGCAGTCTGGGGCTTGAGTATAAATGTCCCTGATTTATCAAGGTTCTACTTGCTTTTTTTTTTTTAACTTGCTGATGGTGGGAGATCATAGGTATTCAGCAGAAAGCATACTTCAGATTTGGAAGTTTGGTCTCTGCCTGGGCTAGCAATGTGTGACGTAAAACTTGTCCACGGAGTGGGAAAGTGGCAGTAGCTGCAGTTCAGTCAGCCATATTGTCTTCCTGAGGGTTCACTGATACATTACAGTCACTGTGTGGGCATGTGACAAGCTAGGATTATTAAGTGATGCATTTGTTGGGAGCCCCATCTCAGGTCCAGGAGCGTCTGTGTTTTTAGGCATGCAGTCTCCTGACACTGGGTTAGTGATCTGGTAATGCACTAAAGAGCGGAGGAGGCTGTGGGACCGGAGCTGGCAGCGACTGCTACCAATTTGCACTGGGCAGTGCGGTGATGACCCCAATATTCCCTCACGTTGATCTAGACACTTAGTTTTAAAAATTACTTTTATGTGCAATATTCCTTTTAATCTCCATGACAACCTTCTAAAGAAGGTAAGGTATGAGTTACCTAGGAGTCATGCAGATCTGGCGTTGTTGTTCCAATTAAAAAAAAAAAAAGAGGGAAGTGAGGCTTTAAGGGTTAAGTGAACAGCTCAAAATCGCAGAGCTCCTTAATGGTAAGCCATGAACAAGAGGTTGGTTTCCCAAGGTGCCCTGTATTTGATTCAAGCAAGAGCAAAAGTATCTGTGTAAGCAACATTGCTGGCACTGTCGTCTCCATTGACTCTCTCGTTCTCTCATCCACCACTGTCTTTCAGGACAGTGCTGACCTCTCATTGCTATGATGGAATCCAGAAGCAAGTTAAGAGAGGAACGGTTTGTTTAGGCTCACAGTTTAGAGGGTACAGTCCACCCTGTCTGGGAAGACAGTGGTGCAAGAGGGTTGACTAATGCTGGCAGAGCTCGTGGTGGCTGATTCTTTTATGGCACCGAACAGAAGAGTTTGGCCAGGAACCAGAAGTTAGTGTCACCTTCAGATGGCCTGAATCTAATGGCTTAAGTCTGCCAACAAGTCTCCACATTAAAAGTTACATAGATATTCAAAAGAGTGTCACAAGTATGAACCAAGGATCCAAGCACACGAGCCTGGGGGGTGGTGGAAAACACAGTTCACCTTCAAGACATGATAAGGATTGAGGAGCAAAAGGGTCTGATTGGCATCTCAGAGCAGCACTCAGTAACAAGGATGGTGAGCTTCCTTCTGTTTTGCTTCCTTGGCAGATAGAGGTGACAGGGATTCTTAAGAATGAGCGATAAGGCAGACAGACAGTGAAGGTGAATGGACCTTATACATTTTAAAGTTACATTAGAAGTTATTGCTATCTTCACAGGTTTAACAAAATCTGCTTGTTGCTAAGTAAGATAGTTTTAGCCTTTAGTTAAATATAATCTTTCCAGAGGCCTTCTGAGTGTGTTGAAGGTGAGGGATTGATTAAAAGAAAGGAAGAATAGGTGATATAAAAATATTTGGCCAATTCCTGTTAAGCATTTTGGGGAGTTGGATAGAACATTGCCAGCAGGTATCTCTCAGGAAGCATAGCCAGGCAACAGTACTCAAGGAGAAGGCAGCAAGCCAGTGCTAGCACCTCACCTGCAGTGAAAGCAGAAAAATATAATTTCTTCCTGCTTACTGAGATATAATAGGTAAGTAGAACTCCCTGTATGAATGTATAAAACTTGTTGAGCTTAGACAGGTGTATGCATTCATGCTGCCATCACCACAGACAAGATCATATAGACAGTCAACATCTGCAAGATTTCTTGTGTGGTTTATGAATAGAACAACTCTATGAATAGAACATGTATAACACAGGAGCAAAGAACAACAATCAATAAATGGGAACTGAAAAGCTTTGTAAGGCAAAGGACACTGTCAATAGGACAAAATAGTAGCCTACAGAATGGGAAAGATTTTCGCCAATGGCACTGCATCGGATAGAGGGCTAATGTCTAAAATATATAAAGAACTCAAGAAACTAGATGTTGGCAAATCAAATAATCCAATTGAAAATGGGGTACAGATCTAAACAAAATTCTCAACAGAGGAATCTCAAATGGCTAAGAAACAAAAAAATGTTCAACATCTTTAGTCATCAGGCAAATGCAAACCAAAACTATGAGATTCCATACACCTGTCAGAATGGCTAAGGTAAAAAACAGAAGTGAAAGCTCATGCTGCTGAAGATGTGAAACAAGGGGAACACTTCTCTGTTGCTGGTAGGAGTGCAAACTAGCATAGCCATTATGAAAATCAATATGACAGTCAGAAAATTGGGAATCACTCTATCTCAAGACCCAGCTAGACCACTCTTGGCCATATGCTCGATGGATGCTCCATACTACCACAAGACGCTTGCTCAACTATATTTATAGCCGCTTTAGAAACAACATAGATATCCCTCAACCAAAGACTGCGTAAAGAAAGTGTGATGCATTTACACAATTGAGTATTACTCAGCTGTTAAAAACAATGACACCATGAAATTTGCAGGCAAATGGATAGAATTAGAAAAAAATTATCCTGAGCAAGGTAGCCCAGACCCAAAAAGACAAACATGGTAGTATTCACTTAAAGTGACATCAGCCATTATATAAAGGATAATCATGCTACAAACCACAGATTCAGAAAGGCTAAGTACAAGTAGA